CAATATATCAATGTTTTTCATGTTGTTTTCCTACTGTAGAATCCCCACTTTGACTCTGCTTAATTGCTTGGCAGTTTTCTGCTTGGCAGTTTTCTTTTGCTGTTATTCTTGAAGTTGTGGTCTTCATTGTCTCTTTCTAAAATATGTTTCAGTACTCTTTGTACAGTTCGTTTGGTGGTCATGAATTTCTTCCATTGTTCCTTGTCATGGAAGTATTTTATCTCTCCATTAAATTTGATAAATAGCTTTTCAGGGTACCTCAATATGGGTTAGAAGTTGTTTTCTTCCAGGACATGAAATACCTCACTCTAAGCTCTTCTTGATTTAATGGTCTGTGTTGAGAAATCTTTGGTGATTCTGATGAGTTTTCCATTATATATGATGTGTTTCTTCTCTCTAGCAGCTTTTATCATTCTGTTCTTTTGCTCAGTTTTTGGGATCTTGATTATTATGTGTCTGGGTGAAGATTTATTTTAATTATGGCTAGCTGTAGTTCTATATGCTTCACTTAACTCTATGTCAGATTTTTCTTCCATGCTTGGGAAATTTTCTGCTACTACTTTTGCAAATAGTCTTTTTATGTCATTTAAGTCCAGCTTTTTCATTGATATCTATTAGTCTTGCATTATTTTTCTTTACTTCCTCTTGCAGCTGTTGTATTTTTATTTCATGGTTCCTTGTTTTCTTTTGACAGACTTAATTCATTTTATTTTCCTTGCTTAAAAACCCTTTATGTTGTATCCACTGCTGGAGCGTGAGTCCCCTGGACAGAGACTCTGGGTTTTCACAAGAGATTCAGTGTATTCCTGGTAGAGAGACTTGATGAACACAGTCTCTTTCCAGAGGTCAGAGGTCAGATATCTGTAGATCTTGGAGATGGCAGCAAAAGTGGCCTTAGCAAAGTTGCCCAAAGTAGCAGTGCAGCCCCTAGCAGAGGTGTAGCAGTCATCAATACCAGACATCAGCAGTAGCTTCTTGGGCACAGGGGCTGAGACAGTGCCAGTGCCTCTGGGGGCAGGGATCAGACATACCAACACAGATCCACAGCGGCCTGTCACCTTGCAAGAAACAGTGTGGGGCTTGCCAATCGTGTTTCTCCAGTACCCTCTCTCATGGGGACAATGGAGAGGTTGGCCAGGGTAATGGCCCCACGAATGGCACTGGCTACTTCCTTGGAACACTTCACACCCAGGCTAACATGACCACCATAGTCCCCAAAGGCAACAAATGCCTTGAGCCTGGTCCGCTGGCCAGCACAAGTTTGCTTCTGTACAGGCATGAGCTTCAGAACTTCACACTTGAGGGATGTGCCCAGGAAAAAGTCAATAATCTCTGACTCCTTGATGGGTAAGGTAAAAAGGTAAATTTCCTCCGGGGACTTGATTTTCATTTCTTTGACTAGCTGGCCCAGCTTGGTGACAGGAATCCGCTCTTTGTCCTCAGTCTTACTTCAAAAAACCTTGCAGCCTCGGTCCCGGTCCCAGCCTTTGCCACACCTGCAATCTCGAAGGCCACTGCCAAAGCCTCGGTGGAAGCCACCTCGGCCTTTCATGCCTGGGCCCCTCAGGCCTCTGGCCTCTCCTGCTGCACCAGCTTCATCTGCCATTTGGTGTTTCCCAGAAAAAGAAACTTCCTTGTTATTTTTAAGACATCTTTCCTTTCTTGTTTACAAGCTGCCCTGCTATCTTCAAGGACTGAAATTCTCTGTTCTCTTTTATTCAAGTGAG